AAATTGACACACCTTTAGCAAATCTTATCAGAAAAAGTAGAGAACACATACAAATAAACAAACTTAGAGATGAGAATGGAAACATCACCACAGAAACAACCAAGATGCAAAATATTATAAGAGAATATTTCTCAAACCTTTATGCTAATAAGTTTGACAATCTGGAAGAAATGGATGATTTCTTAGCAAATGTCGACATGCTGAAACTAAACCAGGATGAGTTAAACAAACTTAACAGACCCATATCAAGCATCAAAATAGAAACAGCAATAAAAGACCTCCCATCTAAGAAAAGCCCAGGACCAGATGGATTTACAGCAAAATTCTACAAGGCTTTCAAAGCAGAGCTCACACCAATACTTCGCCAATGCTTCAATGAAATTGAAAGAAAAAGTTCACTACCAAACTCTTTCTATGAAGCCCTGGTAACCCTCATTCCAAAACCAGACAGGGACTCATCAAAGAAAGAGAACTATAGACCCATTTCTTTGATGAACATCAATGAAAAACTTCTCAACAAAATTTTTGGCCAATCAACTTCAACAATTCATCAAAGAAATCATACAGTACAATCAAACAGGATTCACTTCAGAGATACAAAGCTGGTTCAATATACACAAATCAATTAGCGTAATTCATCACATCAACAAGAGCAAGGATAAGACCCATATGGTTATCTCAATAGATGCAGAAAAGCACTTGACAAGATCCAACACCCCTTTATGATGAAGGCTCTGGAAAAATTAGGAAGCCATGCAACATTCCTCAATACAATAAAGGCTGTATATGACAAACCTACAGTCAGCATTATACTTAATGGTGAAAAGCTAAATCCATTTCCTCTAAACTCAGAAATGAGACAAGGATGTTCACTCTCTAATCTTCTCTTCAATTTAGTATTAAGATGCCTAGATATAGCAATAAGACAATATGTAAGCATAGGAGGAGGCTACAATGCTTAATAAGGAATGTACTCATTATCTTGCCCATGTAATTGTAACCCCTCTGTACATTATTTTCACAATAATATATATATATATATATATTATATAAGCATAAAGGGGATCCAAATGGGGAAAGCTGAAGCAAAACTCTCCCTCTTTGCAGATGACATGATCTTTAGAGAATCCCACCATCTCCACTCCCAAATTACTCGAACTGATTTGAAACTTTGACAAAGTAGCAAGGTATAAAATTAACCCTCAAAAATCAATGGCTTTTCTGTATGCCAACACTGAGAAGAGCGTGGCTGAAATCAGGATAGCAACTCCCTTTGTAATAGCCCTACAATTAATCAAATACCTAGGAATTAACTAAAGAATTGAAAGACCTTGATGATGAAACCTTTAAATACCTGAAAAAGGAAATCAAAGCAGGACTTAGGAAGTAGAAAAACCTCTTATGCTCCTGGATTGGAAGGATCATCATCATGAAAATGACAATACTTCCAAAGGCTATCAACAAATTCAATGTGATACCTATCAATATTCCAACCTCATTCTTCAGTGAAATAGAAGAAGAAATCCAAAAATTGATATTGAAAAATAAAAGACCCTGAATAGTTAAAACAATCTTCAACAGAAAGAACAGTGCTGGAGGAATATCAATACCAAATTTCAAACTCTACTACAAAGCCATAGTAATCAAAACAGCTTGGGACTGGGACAAGAACAGACCTGACAACCAATGGAATAGAATTGAAAACCCAGAAATGAACCTACAGACCTACAGCCATCTAATCTTCGATAAGGGAGCTAAAATAGAATGGAAGAAAAACAGCCTCTTCAGTAGATAGTGCTGGCAAGTTGGTTAATCACCTGTAGAAAAATAAAGTTAGATCCTTATATATTACCCTGCACTGAAGGTAGCTCCAAATGGATCAAAGACCTCAAGGTCAAAGAAGACACCCTTAAAACATTACAGAAAGGAATAGGAGAAACCCTAGGTCTCCTAGGAACAGGCCAAAATGTTCTCACTAGAGACCCAGAATCACAACAAATCAAAGAAAAGTTGGACAAATAGGATTGCATGAAGCTGTAGCGCTCCTGCATGGCAAAAGACATACGAGCAAGATCAATAGAAAGCTCACAGATTGGCAGAAATCTTCACTAGCCATACAACAGATAAGGATCTCATGTCTAAAATATTATTGGAACTCAAAAAATTAAATCCCCCAACAACAAATCATCAAAGAAACAACTGCCTGATAAACAAGCAGGCTAAAGAGTTAAAGCGAAACTTCTCTGAAGAGGAAAGTTGATGTTAAGCAAAATGAACCCCAAGTTAAGGACTCAAATGTTTTTTCTTGCTTGCTTGCTATTGTGTTTAACATATTTATAAGATATTTCTTTGTTGCTTTGTATGTCCCTTCCCCACGGTATAAGCCCTGTTTTCACTATATTTGATGTTGGTATAATTTGTGGAGGGGAAAGGAAAAAACAAATTTTTTAAATAGGGATACATTGCACCAATGAGATGTACAAGATTTTATGTCAAAAATGAACTTTATAACTTTGGCATGTGGGGAGGGGTGAGTGCGGGGTAAGATGGGAGGGATGGGAAGGGGAAACAAAGGAGGACACAACAATGCTTGATAAAAAATATACTCATTATCTTGCCATGTAATTGTAACCCCTCTGTATGGTATTTTCACAATTAAAAAAATAAAAAATAAAAAGAATGGCCAATAGACATATGAAGAAATGCTCAGCCTCTCTAGCCACAAAAGAAATGCAAATCAACATTGAGATTCCAACTCACCCCAGTTTGAATGGCTGTAATCAAGAGATCTATTAACAACAGATGCTGGAGGGGATGTGTGCAGAAGGGAACCCTACAGCATTGGTGGTGGGAGTGTAAATTTGTTCAGCCACTTTGGAAAGTAGTATGGAGGTTCCTCAAAAGACTCCACATAGAGCTCTCCTATGAATTCACTTTTGGGCATTTACCCAAATGATCACAAATAAGACCATACTACAGCTACCAGCACAACCATGTTTATTGCAGCATTATTTACCATAGCTAAGATATGGAACCAACCCAGATGCCCCTCAGTAGACAAACATCAAGAAAATGTGATATACATACACACACACACACACACACACACACACATGAATTCTATGCCTCCATCAGAAAGAATGACATTGCCCCATTTGTTAGGAAATGGAAAAACTTGGAAAAAAATATATTAAGTGAAGTAAACCAGGCCCAAAGAAACGTAGGTCCTATGGTTTCCTTTATTTGAAATGACTAGTATATGTCTGGGAAAAGCAGAAAAGGTGTAAAGCTATGTGCATATGACCAGATAAGATGATGTTAAGGAAAATGAACCCCAAGATAGTGACACAAGTGGTACTTTTCTTTCTTGCTTTTGTTTCTAATGTATTTATAATGTACCATGTGATTTTTGTTTGTTTGTTTGTAACTTCCTCTCCCATGGTATAACCGCTGTTTTCAGTGTATTTGATGTTGGTTCCCTGCATCTTGTTTATACAATTCTTGGGGAGGGGAAGGGAAAAAACAAGATGCTTATATAGGGATACAGGTTGACTCATTGTAACCCAGAGATGTACAAGACACTACGTGAACAACAAAATCTACAATTTAGGTAGCGAGAGGGGGGAGGAGATGGAGGGAGTGTAGTTTAAGAGGTGGGAGGGAAGGGAGGGTAGGGGATAAACAAAGGAGGAGGCAACAATGCTTGATAGGAAATGTACTCATTAACTTGCTCATGTAACTGTAACTGGTCTGTACAGTATTTTTACAATTAAATGTATTTTTTAAATAAAATGTATTTTTAAAAAAAGAATAGAAAATAAACTATCAAAATCATTAACACTAAATCACAATGCTCCTTTGGTAAGGTACCAGGTAAATTTGAACACACACTCAAATGTTACACAGAATGATTGTGTTTGTGATGCATTATCTCATGTTTTAGTGTCTGCCTATATAGTATACTTACTGAATCAGTATAACTATTATATTCATCATCTTAAAACATTAATGAGTACATTCAAAATCTACTCCTATTTTGGGATGTGTTATGTCTTTTTGTTAACTCTATTCAATCTACTCTACCATGCAACACAAGAAACTATTCTAACTGCATCCACTGATACACTTCTATCTTTACCATCCTTATGGTCTTCTCCAGATGGACACCATATTCCCAAATTCTATCAGATTATTGATTTCACATGTCAGTGAGATCTTGCAGTGTTTGTCAGACTGATGTCATTTAACATACTACAATTAATATAAAACTAACATTGAATAAGCCTTGCCCTTTCTTTTACTGTTATAAAAGCATTTGATAATGTTTTATAATAGAATCCATTCCAAATAGGGTGAAGAGGTTTCTTAATACATATTTTGTATTAACTATCCAACTATTGATCAAACTATTATTTTGTATTAACTATCCAATTATTGATCAAACTATTATCTGTTACCTATCTATTAGTCACAAAGTACATAATATATACACAAATGATTTTATGTGAAATATAAAACATTTCAGTTTCTAGCACAGAAGACATTTGCATATTGGATACTTGAAAAATGTTCAGCCTTAGTTTGATGTCCTTCAAATATGCAATGCACCCAAAGCTTTTAAAGCATAGAATGTAATTACAGAAAATAAGCTCAGGAATAATTTCATGTGAATTATGAAAACAAACTGTCAATTTTATCATGAGTATCTATAGTTGACAGTAGTATGCATGTGTATGGCATATTTATTTTATATTACATTGTAATGAGGCTGTAACCAATAATTCATATCAATGTTGCTTGAGTTACGGAGTATAATGTGATTTAAAATGAAGTAAATACTTTAGGAATTATAGCAGTGTGTAGCAAATTATTGTATTATTTAATAAAAATATGTCACTATGTGGTTCAGAGCATACCTGAAGGAAATAAAAATGGAGTGCAGAGAAATAGCAATCTTTTTTTTCCTATGAAGAGATCTCCCAGACTCACATTGTTTTATTTTATGACAAGGTTTTGCTGTATAACTCAGGCTGGGCCTGGTCGCCCAATCCTTTGACGTCGGCTTCCCTAGTCCTGGAGTTACATGTACTTATCACCCTGTGCAGCCTTCCTAGAACTCTTGTCATGGCCCCCAGGACTTCTTTGTTCCTTAGGCTGTAGATTATGGGGTTGAGCATTGGGGTGAGTATGGTGTAGAATACAGCTAGAATCTTATCTCCTTCGGGAGAGCGGAGATTCTTGGGCCGAAGATAAGTGTAGACAAAGGGCACATAGAAAAATGTCACCACAGTTAAGTGTGTTGAACATGTGGTGAAGGCCTTTTTCCTTCCCTCCTTTGACCTCATAAAGAAGACAGCAAAAATGACCCTGCCATAGGAAGCAGAGATACCAAGGAAAGGAAAGAGGAGAAACAGGATTGTGCTCACAAAAAACATGTACTCATAGATGGAAGTGTCCACACAAGCCAGTGGCAAAATGGCTGAGATGTCACACAAGAAATGATTAATAACTCTAGACCTGCAGTAAGGAATGTGAAGGACATAGATTATGTGTGCCAAGGAGTTAAGGAAACCCAACACCCAAGATCCGATGATCATCTTTACACAGATCCCTTTACTCATGCGGATGGGATAGTGGAGGGGGTGGCAGATGGCCACAAAACGGTCATATGCCATGGAGGATAGGAACAAGCCTTCAGAACCTGCCAACATGGAGAAGAAGAACATTTGAGCTCCACAGCCCAGGAAGGAGATGCTTTTCTGTCCTGAGAGGAAGTTGAACGCCATCTTGGGCACAGTGGTGGAGATGTACATCAGGTCTGTGAGAGAAAGCTGGCTGAGGAGAAAGTACATAGGGGTGTGGAGTCGGCAATCCATGTATATGAGAGAGATCATGGTTTAATTCCCAATCAAAGTAAGAGAGAACATGAAGATGAAAAGAAGCAGGAGAAGTAGACCAGTTTGATTAGGAGGCAACAAGCCCAATAAAATGAAGTCATTGGAAGTTTGATTCCATTTCTCCATGAAAATGTATTTCTTTATCTATGAAAGAAATATAAAAATATCTAAAAGTAGGTTACTGAACAGAAAAGTAATTGGTATTGTAATGGTTACTTGACAAAAACCTTTATTCCTCCTAAATTGTAACTGTTCTAGGTGTTTTTTCTGAATGTAATGTTCCCTTTCATCTTTTTCTTGGTACCACCTCAGCAAGAAGGAAATGTGTTCTTTTTTCTTTATGTCATGGATAGCAATCATAAATACTTTAGATAAGGTATTAAGGCATTCCAACTCAGACATAGCTCCTGGCCAAGCACACTAATTAGCATTAATAACAAGTAAAATAATCTATGGAAAACCAGGTCCTTTTATGCATTGTCAGAGAAGTACTTGGTCAAGAAAATGGCTGGTGTACAGTACTATTGAACATAGGACCACAGGCATCCTTTGCTATTGTAACCTTTGAGAAATAAACTCTTCATCTGACAAAATAAATAGTTAATACAAGTATAAATAAATGCTCATCATATTTAGAACGTATTAATTCTTTCAAAATATTTCCCTTATTTTTGTTCTACAAAAGAACTACTAGATCCTTTTAGCCTTTGGTCCTTTAGGTAGACAAGAACCTGCAGTGTTAAATACAAATTATGTACCTGACATAGATAATAGAACAACAAAGACAAATGCATCAATTAATTTTCATGTTCTATTTCTTCTAATATGAGGAAAATGAGTGAGAATAAAAGGACTGGGACAAAGTTGGATCACAGCCTGGTAAGCACTATGTGGAAACTCAGACTACATTTTAAAGCAATGAAGCATGAGGGAAAGTCCCTTCATAACTTTTTCAGCTCATGAAGACAGTGGCAATGTCAAGTGTATGAATGCTCAGGTGTTATGAACATTGTCAGAGGAAGAAATAAGGCTTTGGATTTTTTCTGTGGTAGATGAGAGAGCAGAAAGTAAGACTGGCTTCAGATACATGTCCAGAGTTCATACAAATGACCTGGGTGAAAAGGAGCTGTAAGTAGGAGTATACAGAGGACCCTAGTTAGTAACAATAAGAGCTGGGGACCACACTGAATTTAAAAATCAGTCATGTGTATATGAATCACTGAGATCTGGGCACCTTAGGAGAGTTGGTTTTCTGTTTTACAAGAATGCCTGATTACCTCCCTATTTCTGGGCACAGTGTCTATTGCATGGTGAGCTCTCAACCTATTTACAGAAGGACATGAACCAAACATTAACCTTAGCAGCAACTGATAATTTATTAAAATATAATTTATTTAAAAAGTGGATTTACTGTGTATTCTATGAGCATCGACCTTTGGCATAAATAACCTAGAAATAAGGATACAGGATATCTTTGCATATTTCATTCCTTTGTTTAGACTATGTTTAAATTAAGAGGAAGGAACAGAACAGTTGGCCAGTCATGAAAGGGACTTTCAGGATCTCACAAATCTGAAGCTTGAGAGTTTTAGGCACAAAGACATAGCAATAAAAGCTGAGAGTTTATTTTTGTTCTTGTCTAGCAGTTTTTTAATAAAATGGTAATGGATCTGGTTTAATGTATGTTATGCATGAAGCACCACCTTTTATTTACATTATTATTTTGAGATTATAATTCTAGAACTGTTCAGTGAAAGTGAATTATGGGAGTAGGAACCATGAAATCAGAGATAAATATTGTGTTAGTACATAGCTTGATTCTTTCTTTCCTTTAGATTTATTTTTGGAGTGGAAGGGGCAGTCCTGGGTCTTGAGATCAGGGCCTGGGCACTATACGTGAGCTTTTTGAGTCTAGGCTAGAACTCTACCATTTGGCCCACAGTTTCATTCTAGCTTTTTGCTGGTTAAAGGGAGATAAGTGTCTCATAGACCTTCCTACTCAGTATTCTTTGAACTGCTATCCTCAGATCTCAGTCTCCTAAGTAGCTAGGAATACAGGCTTAGGCTCCTGGCACCCAGATTCTTTTCCTTATTCCCTTAATTGTTTTAACTTCACATTCCCTCACTGAGCCTCAAAATACAGTCAAAAATCACTATTCTATACTCTAGTGTTTCCCATATAATTCTTGTGCCTAAGAAGTGGATAGCAGTCAGCTAAAAAAGGATTCTTATTCTGAAAATAATGTTAAAATGAATGTTATCACAGGAATACTTGAAAAGAAACAAACTATTTAATCTTAAGGAAATCTACCTGTTTAGCAGGGAACATTTCCTTTAAACCATCCCTGTATAAAAGGATTTTGAAGGATAACAAACAACTATGTCAAAACTTCTCAGCCAAATTGATCATGTTAAGGTGGTATACAGCAGGAGTATTTGAAGTAACCCTAGTGTTTTAGACAAAGACACTTATTTCAAAGACTCGAACAACTGCTTCCATTTTCACCATAAAAAATCCCCACTAGCAAACAAGCTGGTTGTATGTCTCCCCGGAGACTTCCAGAATCTACCTACTAGAAGATCCTTTTAACTTTCTTCTGTCTTGCTAAATAAATCCCTTCTAGTTTTCTTAACTTTTTGACTTATGTGGAAATTATTTTCTATTTTTCAAAAACAAACACCTGCCAGGATCCAGTGACTCATACCTGTAATCCTAGCTACTTGGGAGGCTGAGATCTGAGGATTGCAGTTCAAAGCCAGCCCAGGCACAAAAGTCCGTGAGACTTTTTATCTCCAACAAAACACTAAGAAAAACTGGAAGTGAGGCTGTGACTCAAGTGGTAGAGCATTAGCCTTGAGCTGAAGAGCTGAGGGACCATGCCCAGGCCCATGCCCAGGCCCAGAGTTCAAGCCCCATGACCAACAAAAAAACAAAAACAAAAACAAACACTTGCATAAATCTGAATAGAATGCCCACAACTTTAGAGAGACCTCATCAGACTTTCACCAACCACAGTGTCAATACCTATAACCTCAAAGTAGGTCCAAATGCAGTCTCTTATTTTTCTCAGAGCTTCACTGCTTACATAGGTGGAGGTGAAATAAATCCATTATTTGGCAAGATCTAGTATATTTAAGCTTTGCAAGTGTATGATCCTAAAATTATTTAACAAAAGTATCAAGCAATGCATATTTAAATAAAACACAAAGAGAATTCAAGTCTAATTAGAAAAAATTTAGTTCGGCTCAGTTAAGTCAATTCAACAATGTCAGAGGACAGCTGTAAAATGAAACTAGCAAATGAAAATATAGCTAGCATCTAGTCAGTCCTCCAGAAGTGTTAGTCTTTTTTGCCAGTCCATAGCTTAAACACTGACAGGTCTCCGGCACCAAGCAATTCAGTATCTTGGTTAAGATCACAGTCTTGAAGAGTGGCACATTGTAGGATTCTAATATATTAAATCTCTTTTGTATATCAAAATGATTTTTAGCTTTTAAATTCCCTATAGAACTGTACCTTCTCTTTTGAGTTGAATAGATTTAACATGACAGCAAAATCACAACTTACAAAAATCTGCCTTTGGTAAAGATAACACAAACTAGTATGTCTAAATGGTTTCATTTATACTCACCTTGCATTAACTTCTTTAGTTTGTAAGGAAATAGCTTTATAATGACACCTGTCCCAGCTGATGGTCCATCATATTCTTCACAAGGTTACAACACAAAGTTCTGCTCACAACATCTGCTGGGGATGTAGCAAGATTATGTCATTGATCAACACAAACTGCATTGAATAAAGACTTCTCCCCCGAAACTCTGCCAACATCCCAATAAAGACATACTTAAGAACAAGATAGGGCATGAATAGACTTTCTGCTACCATCACTACTCATTTTTCCCAATGCTGAAACCAGAAAGAGAAATAAAAAAAAACCTTTTACAATCTTCTGAAATATGTGCATATAAATTTCTTGTTAAAATGTCTTCCTCACCTTTTTTTTTTGAACAAGGATAAAGGGAAAAGATATTTCACAAGAAGACCAAAGAGCAAGTTGTTGAATTGTGTGGGCAAAACCTTATATCATCAAGCCAGGATATTCTGATGTTTCTGTTTCTCCTCTAATTGATCCCCACGGACAATCCCAGGGAGGATGCATTTCCTCAGTCAATTCAACTAGTGTTCCTGATTTGGATATCAACTCAGTTCTGAACACTTTGGTCCACTTCTTTAGAGAACATTTTTAATTGAACAGTCCTAAAGCAAAGAAGTGAACATTTAGTATTATTATGTCCTGGAGTGTTTGATCATGGGAAGAAATGAGGGTATATTATTTTTTGAAATGGTATTGAATAAATATTAGTGACTCCTATTATGGAAATATGACATAATTACTATCATGAAAATAAAATAAAGCACAAACTTTGGTCAATGAGTTCTATTCCTGTCAAGTTAGTAGTAGATAATTTATGAATACAGACAGATTGTTTATTGTTGATCTTTGGAGCTTATGGAAATTTTTTATATCTACTCTTGTGAAAATTGCCTAAAAAACTCCTTTCTAGGTCTCTTACCATGCCTATGTCATTCACATGGTCACTGGAACACATAGACTAAGCTCCAAATTAGGATAGTGGGCCTTATGTATAGGGTCATCTAATATATGATCTCTCACTAAAATATCAAATTTATGAATGGGGAAATGGCTTCTTCCATGAGTATCTGTCATGATACCACAGTGGAAAAACCTGGTAGAGGATATTGCATAGAACTAGCTTGGAAAGCACTAGGTAACCTGGTTTTCTAAACTTCAGTATATTGATTAAAATCATGATGATATGTGGAGCTGTTCTTTCAAGCTTAGTTAGCAAATGTAGTCCTAAAAGTAGCTACAGGCACTGTTTCAAACCATGAGCATTTAATATGTTTTGTTCCATGTTGTATTACTGATTTGAGTGATGAATGCTAAAGTTCAAAAGATAAATATATTCAAATCACACATATTCCAGATCTGGATCAAATTGATTAGTCTGTCTTCAATCATTTAGTTCCTCTTAGGTTCATGAAGCAAGAGGTTGAAACAGGACAGTTTTATTTGTAATTGTAGTTATTCAAAATTACACAA